CCGCCACCGCCAGGTTCAGGATGAACAGGCTGGTAGAGGACTGGGTCCGCTTGTTTTTGACCACCACATGGCACACCAGCGAGTTGCCGAACAGGGAGATGACGATGATGAGCGAGTACGCGGCCACGAGCAGCGCCTTCACCGCGCTGTCCTGCGCCTCCCTCCCGCTGCTCTGCCTGTTGGCCAGGGAGCGCCAGTCCTCCAGCAGACCCTCGTCAAAGTCCAGCAGGAAGAAGCCCGAAGTCCGGTTGCCCGACTGTCCCGAAGTGTTGAGCCAGCGCTCCGTGTAAGGAAACGTCCCCTCTCCAATGAGGAGTGAGGAGTCGTTAACTGATTGTCCCACTGCTCCCCGGGGAGAGCATCTCATCCAGAAAACCACCGTCAGCCAGACGCACGACACTCTCATTTTATCTGCTTTGCAAAAAAAAAAAAAGAAAAAAAGAAAAAGTAGATTCCTTTCTTTCCCACCTGTGGGAACTGGGAGCTGGACTCCTTCGTGTCGTGCTGAGATGCAGAAGAATGAGCAACAAGTTGTGATGCGGCTCAGTGGAGACTGTCGTCTCTCACGCGAGCGCACCGGCGGGATCGCGCGCGCGCCCGTGTGTGTGGTCCAGGTGAGGAGCTGCTGACGTTGATGGAACCCAATCAGCCAGCCACAGCTTTGGATCACACTTTTTTGTCATTTTTTATTAAGCATTTTTAGAAAAAAAAGACTCCAAAGTCTCTAAATGTTCCTTTTAGGAGAAAGGTGTTCCCAAATGGGGTGAGAAGTCTCCACATAACATAATAACTTTCATCCTCACGTTCTTGGAGAAAGCTGTGCTAATTGAGGGTGATGTATGCTGTGATTGTAGTGCTAATTTCATATTGGAAAGCCTCTAGTCAAGGCAATTTACACAGTAAGGGTCCATAATTATTCGATGTGTGTGTGTGTGTGTGTGTGTGTGTGTGTGTGTGTGTGTGTGGGCAGGTTAAAATGTTCTGTAAGATCACACTCTCATACATACTCTTAAACTTGTGCTTTAAAACTGACTGGCTTTCGACGGTATAGTAAAGCAGACGCATAAAATCCTCCTCCCATCCTGTTGGTGTATTGATTCCAGCTTGGTAAAGTGTTTGTCTGCAGGGGGAGAGTGTCTGTTTGGAAAGTCAATCCCGGGCCCTGGAGAATTTACAAGCGCTCGGTACATTTTAAATCCTACTTCGAAAGGAAACCTCGGTGAATGTTTTCCGGCGGTGAGTAATCATGCAGTTTTGTTCAAACTGAGAAAGGATTAATTTATGCCACATTCTGTTTTACGCGTTTCCTGTTATAGTGAATGGAATCCACAGAAATGACGTAACCCAGGGCAGGTTGCAGTTCTCCTCACCTTTTTTCAACACTCTTGGTGCAGCTATATCTGTCACATAACACAAGCCAAAGGACCAGAAGCTTACGAGAACAAAGGCTAAAGACCAGGAGAAACATGGGAGAACAAGAGAGAATCTCTAGAAAGTGCAGATTGATAATTACCTTTATGCATTTAGCAAAGGCTTTTATCCAAGGCGACTTACAAAAAGAGGGTTTACCATCCAACTATACCACCAGTTACACAGTTACCTTACCTTGAGTACAGTATGCTAGAAAAGGATTTCACATTAAGAAGTTAACATTCAACTATAACATAGATTACACAAGTACCATACATGAAGTGCTACATGCTATTGGGAAATAAGTGCATTTAGAACTTGAAGTACGAGAGATACTCTTGAACGAGTTGGGTCTTCAAAGATTTCTTGAAGGAGGAAAAAGTATCCAATGCTCTGATCGTGCTTGTATGGTTGTTCCACCAGCGTGGAACTGCAGATTAGAAGAGTCTAGATTGACCTGTGTCGCACGTTGGGCCAGGTATGGATGTCAATGGACAGACAAGCAATGGGCGAGGAGAGCTTATAGACAAGAAGAGTGATTACACACCTCAGGTAGCCGGCGCACAGGTAAAGGGAGTGGAGCCGATGACCAGGATGGAAAGGTAGAACGGAGACAAAGAGGGATTACAAGAAGTGAAGCTGACAGAGACAAGGAGGGAGGGGACAGGAAACTGAGGGGACACATAATAAAACAGGAATCAGGACCCAAGAGAAACTGAGAGAAAATTGAAACTTCGAACAAGGAACAGGTAATGATCAAACACGTAAACAGGAGAAATTGAGATCCAGGCCGGGGGATTTAGATTTTTGCCAAATCTAAGAAATTTTCTTTACAAAACAGAAAGACTTATGTATCATTTTAGGCTGTTTATCAATATTATGATTGGCTATCCTAAAATATAAACTTTCAGGTTTGAAAAAAGGTTAATATAACTTGATTGTTATCTCTGTGGGGCATTATTCCAGTCAAACTGAGAAGTGAACCATGACAGTACTCTCAATTGCTTTTCCGCTGCATATGTGTTGGTAAATGTAACTTCATCTTACAATTAACACTATAAGTCCTTTCTACATGAGTCAACTGTAAAGTGAAACAATGGACAACACTGGGTCAAATGGGTCTCACTTGTTCGTTCCCGTAAGCACTTTGGAACAAATCAATTGCTCTAATCGTTGCATTGTGCCATTAAATTGGTTGTGACAATTTGATTGTGACAATAATTGGATAAGGACAATGCAATTGGCATTAGAAAATGTAGCCATGTAACAATTTGTAATTGTAGGGGGAAACATATAGTAGTTTTGATTCCCACATTTTCTAGCTTCTGTTTATCCTGTTAAGGAAACAATGTTTTTACTATAACAGCTAAAATATGAAATGGGTCTTAAATGTAATTAATCAAAGGATTGCAATGATTATTTTCATCATCATGGTGTCGTAAAGGTAATGCTGTGACCCTCACAGCTTGTTCTTTGGGAATAGATGAAAAACCTGGTAAAGATCATGACCTTTGAACCCGCATCCACACGGGAAATCTTTTCTATTAAAGGGAATCCGTATTTTCCGAAAGGACCTGATCTCTTTTTCATACCTCTAAGTGGCATGTACAGACCTGCCTCACTTGTGTGTAGAAGGCTCCACTTCAACAGAATAATTACACTTCCTGACATTTCAGCTCCTCCTGGATGTTGTTTCATTCTACAAAGAGGGGCGATTTTGACAGGCCATTTCACAAAGATCATTGAAATAACTTAAGGCCTGCATCAATAACTGTCCCTGAAGAGTCAGAGGGCACAGGCTCACGGCAAACTCTAATAATGTGGGGTTTTCATTTTTACTCTTCACACTTCAAGGAGAAAAAGAAGACCTATAAGAACTCCCCTAAGCACGGATCAGCAGCATTAGAAGACCCTTTGTATTTCTGTGCATACGTGCTTTGGTTTTTTTAGAGCGGCTTTAAGGACTGGGAGTGAAACCAAACACTAATTTCGTGAAATTTGAAAGTAATATTAAATTCTCAAAACTAGATACTTAAACTTTGCTTATCACGATGCTATTATACCCAGCAGAAGGGTCATGAATAATTCATTTGTTTAAGTTTGTCTTCTCAACCCATGCAAGAGTTTTAATGATCTTTTGTGCAGTCTGTAAAAAGGTTTTGAGCTTTTGTGTTAACTTTTGTGTGTGTTTCTGCACCGCCCACAAAATATTCTTAAGACCCAGAGTTGCTGAGCAGCAAAGCAGACCTCAGAATGTTTTTCAAATGTGCAATTTGTTTAGAGGACATCCAAAATGCCGTCTATGTATGGCAGGGTTTTTGAAGAGATTATAATATATGTTGAAATAGAAAGACTGAATATGGAAAGAAATGTTTTAAATTAATCAAAGTGACTGATTAAGATCTAATATTATATTATATTTATCTGTATTGTGCAATTATATTCTGATAAAAAAGGTATCAGGATTACTTCGTCCAAGTCAAATCGGCTGTTATCTCTTTTATATTTTACTCTAAAGCAATCATGACATCTGTGTTGAGCAAGCAAACTAGAATTGGATGGGTCTCCATGTTTTTATGTGTTGTCCATGGTTAGTCAAAAATCATTTCAAAAGGATTCGGCAGCAATGTATTGGGAGCATTCTGTGGCAACCCTCTTTTCAAAATTCAATTTTGCTGCCAGAGAAAGGGATAACTTCCTCAGTTCCTCATTCTTCTCCTCTAAGGGATCGTGCTTCTAATAAATCTTCCCCACACTCAGTCTTATGTATGTTCCCCACTGAAAAACCTGATTGCCCTAACACTTCAGAATTTCTTTTTATCTTCTGTCAGACAGAAAGTAACAAAGGAATGAAATGATCTAATGTAAATGCAGATAAGGCTTTTATGTGAAGGCAGAGTTTTTGTGTATTGGATTTTAATTCAAGGAAATGGTTTCCTTCTTCAGTGACACAAAAAAAAAACTCTAAATGCTTGATACAGCCCCAGTCACAACCAGACTGGATTCAGGATTTTTCTTCATTCTCACATAGAAATAATATAATTGCCAGTGATGTTGTTTTTTTTTGTTGGTGATTTGCAATGTAAAAACATAATAATATTTCTGAAACTTGTATCCAACTTAGGCTTTTCTATTGACATATTGTGCCTCAACCCTCCCTCCTTCACTTAAGTGATCAGTGAGAAATGTATGTCTGTGTGGGCCCTGTGAAAACCCATCTAAGCTGTATGCTGCTTCCTGCATTACATGTTCCGCAACTGCCCCTCTAACCCTAAACAAGTTAAAGAAGCAATCGCAAATTAAACTATTAATGAGATTGGAGTGGGCGCTACAGTGTGAAAATACAAACATGAGGTCTTATTTTGCAACATATTTTTAGGCCCATTTATTTTGTAATAATGATCATGACTTATAAGTGAAGAAATAAAAACTTCAAGCGCTATTACATATCAAGGTTATGTACATTTAATAATATATTTTTTGGCTCTTTTTGACCATTTCACGGAATCCCTGAGAGTGACAGAAGACCATAAAAGGAGCGTCAGAACTACCAGAATATTACCAACGAAGAAGCTCGCATCTCAGATGGCTGATGGGTAATGATGTTGTTCGAATCGCTTCACTCCAGCTTTCGTTTAGTTTAAAACTACATATACCATATGACTTCACGGCCGGGTTTTTTTGTTGTCATTCTTCTAGTTGTCTCAGTTGTTAATATCCTAATGTCAAAATTAAGGTAATAAGTATTGAACGAGCTGCCCTTTATTCTCAGTGGAAAAACTAGACTGTGATATGAAATGCTGAACGCGCGTTGCTTCTGTCGTAGTCTGGCGTTGGCGTTTCGTTTCAACCTTTACAGTGAATGTTATACGCGATGTATTTATCTGTTAAAAGCAAATTCTTTGCGACCGAGGGTGTAATATCGTAATGAGCTGGTTTGACCTAGTAAATTGCTAGCATAAATCCTAATGTACGGTATGCGAATTGTTATGTTAAATTCACGGCTCTCAGTGGAGAGCTCGGTCATATTCAATTGGACAATGTTTTGGGGAACATAACGTGGTCAGTCTGCTAAACGACCAGCCGTCCTGGCTGAATTATATATTTGTATAGATTAATATAAACTGAAATATCCTGAGTCAGGACACCGTGCTTTGTTTTTCTTCCCAGTACGGTTATAGCAGGCTCAGCATAACACTGCTGAGCCTGTGTTTGTTTGTTTTCACAGGCAAGACTCGAGTAGCAAGGATCAGATTATTGGCACGTCTAAGCCCTCAAAATGAGAAATGACTAAGAGTCCAACATTAAACAAGTGTTTAACTCCCAGCGGTAAAACCAGGAGTATTTTTCTTTCTCCTGGTGACCAGAGAGGTCTGCAGCAAAACAAACACAAAACAAATGTATTTCTATTTCCTACTCGATTTTTTATTATAGCTAATTAAATCAGGATTAGACACTTTTCAGAAAACAACTGAGCAGAGGGCAGCTGTATGGAGCTGGATAAATTGGATTACATGCATTTCTGGAAACATTAGATATTCAGTATTGGGAAAGAGATTTACATAAAAGCAGAACACCAGGGGATCATAGTTTAAAAACTAGATCTTAACGCTGAGGACTGATCTAACCTCGGTGTCCAGAATGTAAATAACTGCTCAGTCAGAGAAGCCTTGAGGCAGCTCAGCTTCTCAGGGACAGGATTCATTTTTTGATTTAGACATGTTGACATGGATATAGACACTAGATAGAGAATACCAATCAGCTTCAGCTTGCCGCATTAAGCCAGTCCACAACTACTCCAACTAATTTTCAAGAACTCTTTGATCTATGATGATTTTTTTTTTTTTCTGAGCTAACTTTGATCTCCTTGATTGTTGTCTTTCAGTGTCTCGGATTAGAAGTCTCAGGCCATGATGGAGTTTCCAGAGGATTTCAACCAGCTTGAACTGCTGGACACACACGGGCACCTGATCCCCCGAGGGGTGGGCAGTCAGTGGACCGGCAGCAGAGAGGAGGAGGAGGAAGTGGATGAGGGCAACCACAGCGAGGAGTGGTACCTGGAGAAGGAGGACGCGCTCAAGGACAGGCCGATGGAGCTCATTCTGTGGGCAGCAGAGAACAATCGTGTAAGTGCTCCACTTTCAAGGAAGCTTGACATAAACAGAGCAAGGCCTTCAAATAATTGCCAAAAAGGCCATTGACTGTACGAGTAAGCAAGACAAACGCAGTTATTCGAGTGTTTTATCATCCCTTTTACCTTAAATATGTCATCCCAACTATCTATGGGAAAAAAAATTATTCCGGTTATCACTGCTCCAAAGAAATGTAAATAAATACAAAGAAATATTTCACATTCTTAGATGTTAAAGGGTTAAACTTGCATGTCCTGGTTTCTGGTCAAGTATTTCAGTGTCAGTCTGCCTGTACCGTCTCACAGCTGTGAGGAGAGCTGCTCTACTATTGTTCTGACTTAAATCCCAGCTGACGCCATCCTGATGCTCATCCCGCGGCCTCACCGGGGCTCCAGGATCATCTTCATTTCTTTCAGACAGTGAGATGATCAAGGGGGAGAAACCGTGTGAACAACCTTTATCTGCTGGGATTTCAGGCCTTTCTCTCAGTTTAGGCTTTGGAAGGCTCAGTGGGCTGCTCCCACATACAAACATCCACTCTGTTGCCATGGTTATGCATCTGAGCAGAGGTAAAACAGTACATTTAGCAGCAGAGATCATTCCAGCAGCACTGCATAAAACCCATAAATGACTATCATGTCAGAACTTTGATTTTGCAGCGTAAAATGCCCGAAGACGCAAAAATATCTAGTGTATCCAGAGCTCCTGCAGCAGGCTCCACAATTTAAGTATTAATATGACAATACATCCCACTGTGATAAAATACCTAATTAATTACTGCGTACACAGAATGTAAAAAGCAGCTTAACTTTGCATTTCTAATTGGACTTCACCCTCATTTACCTTTCAGAGCTCTTTACATCACAACCCATTCGTCCAGTCACTCACATGCATGCAGCAGTTTATTTAAAACAATCTTGATCTTTGAAGTGCTTTTCTCTGCCGTGTATGCACTCAAAAACAACAAACACATTGGGGCTGAATCACGAATCACGTTGCCAATGCACCATCAGAGCCTGTGGATATAAGAAGCACTACCATACTTTACATGCCCTTTCTTTTGTAGTTCCCGTTTTAAGCCTTGTATCATTCGATACTCAGTCCTCTCCCTCTGCATGATGCCCGCTGCAGGGTAAGGGAACATCTGACAGCTTTCACTTTGTTTCAGTGCACGCATGCAAGTGAACAACTGCCTGCGTACCCCTTTAAGCGTTGATCAGGATGTTACGATGATGGGGGATTAAGGGGACATGTTGACCTCCCGCCCTGCACTCTGCCCGTGCCCACCTGTGAAAATTATCTCTAAGGTCAAAGAAATCCTCAAACTTCCTCCATGATTATCGAAACAGGCCGCTGAGATTCTCAGGAGAAACTGCGGGCAGTTCGGTGCAGACGTCTTCTGCAGCTGAGAGCCTCGTTGACAGGATTGCAAATGATGCAAACAAAATCAAAAATAGGCTGCGCAAATCACTGTATTTTCTTAAAAGCACAATAAGAACAGATGTGCTGACGTGAGTCTGACTCGGGCATGGTGTATTCAGAGTTTTCAGGGTAGCAGAAAAGACAAACTTTTCCTTTGAAGATGCGGTGGAAAAGCTCCATAAGAGGTTTGCATGCGAGATGCCAAACGCCTGCCACAGATCCGGACACTTTAATGCATTTTCGTTTCCCATATAATTTTACTCACACATAGCAGGAACACAGAGAAGATGAAGTCTGCATTGTGACACCAGCTGATAAAATAATTTTGATAACCGTGAACCCTTAAGGTTGGAGCTTCTTCTTCTTCTGATACGTTATGTGAATTATGTGAACACAGATTCTTCATGGCATTGCTGGCCAATCTCATTTTGTAGATGAATGACTTGAATATCCTTGAAGAAATCACTAACAATGTGGATTTTTAAGAATGGCTTTGCACGACCAGGTTCTGAAATCCTGTCCTCAGCATATAGTGACATTACAAGTACTTTTTATTAAGCCCGAAGCACTTTTTTCTCGATTGTTTTCCCATTTGTATCAGAAATGATCAGGTTCTTAAAATTGTGACTGAAAGAGTTCTGAAATGAATCAGCCGTAGCATCCACTGGAGTTGACTTTTGCAGGGCGGGAGGTGCTGTTTAAATTGGTGTTTAAATTTTCTCCATGGTGCCGTCATAAAAGGCCACATAATAGGATTCCTTTTCCTCTGTTCTCCTCTTAAAAGCAGCACTTAGACCTTGTCCGCCGTTGCTAGCCGCCGTCCTCGCTGTGAATTGCGTTTCTGTTTTCACGGCTACATCTGCCACTGAGTGGACTTATGTGGATTCTGAATTTGCACGTCCGTCCATTAGTGTGAGAAGCTGTGTTGTGCTTAAATGCTTAAAACGGCTTCAATTAAAGCATACGTGAAGACAGCTATGGCACATGCACTTTTTCAGTTTGTGTCGAGGGAGTTAGAAATGAGTCTAGACCAACGCGGTCGCACTGACATGAACACACAATTCAATCAGAGAGAGAATTAGTGGAATCTGTCCCACTCCGGTAATATGTAATACCGACATGTACAGCTGCTATGAAGGTATAATCTGATTTGTTTTTAATCTGTGTAGGTTGGGTCACATTCTTAAAGCTAACAACCCCATACAGCACTGGCTATATAGAACACTTCCTTATTGGCTTTGATATTCAGACTGTAAACCTTTACCTTTAAACCTTTACTTAAAAAGCTATTATTTTATCTTTAATGTCTAAAATTTTTGAGATAATCGCTGCTGCTCCATTTCTGGTTATTTACACAAACAAAAAAAGTCTTAAGTTTCAGTCAGGTTACCACCCGTATTCTTTTGACCTCTTCGCAGGTCCTGTTGGACCCGGTCCTGTTGGGTCTCAGCTGCCTTTGATAAAAATCCACCTAATCCTCCTAATACAGACTTTGACATGTAAACGGGAACAAAACCATTTACGTTTATTTTCATATGTATCTGATAAATCCCATTTTTTTTATTATGAGAACTACCATGTGGGGTCATATTTCAATGGGAGGCTGTCCCTATTGGCTTTCTCTTAAATTCAGAACAGAACTTAATTCACGTTCAGATTTCATTCATGTATGGTGCCACTGAGTTTTCTTTTCTTTCCCCATGGCCTTTTTGTGTCATTGCAGCCCTTTTTTTTCTCGTTCAAAAGAAAGCCCCTTTCACCCCCCCTCACTCACAGGCCCAGTGTTATTAGCTCCTTTTACAAAAATATCTGAGACCGATGACGGGGCTTCATAGAGTTCAAGAGGTTTCCTTTTCGCTCAACTGATCAAAGGCAGAAAGAGGTTTTGTTTGTTTTTTTGCAGAAAAATAAATAAAGCGATTCATTTCCAGTCAGTGTTTTTGCCGGTCAAATCTTGAAAGCTTCTAGCAACGTCATTTGTACAAATTCTGAAAAATGATAATTATTACTTTGGTCCAGGTGAGGATGAAGCTGTTCAGTGAGGGGCTTTTATTGGTAGAAACGATTTCCAGGTTGTATCCTGCGAGGAATTGGGAGTAAAACACTCCGAATGTCAAACAGAGCACAACTGATTTATTATCAGCCGCCCTCCTCCTCGCTCTGGGCTCCTGGTTTAATTAGGCTGTGCTGCTTCCATTTGCAGACGTGGAAGCAGAAAATCTGCTCTCTATTGAAGCCGCGGTCATGACTTCCAGTCATACAACAGTGATCACAAAAAAAAATAAAACATTCAGTTACATAACCTGATTAAGGATGTGAAATGGAGCAACAGTTGCTTTCACGCGCAGCACAGGCCCTTTCATATTGAAATGTTAGTATTCATTTAATCATCAGCGAGCAGAGTGCTCACAAAAACTTTGCAGGAGGTCAGTTCCGTTTGAGATTTGCTGACGTGACGAGCTGCTGCCCAGCATGCTGCCAGTCCAGCAACGAATAATTCCGAAGCTCGTATCAGGAGGCGGTGCGGTCTTCCGCCGCCCAGAGGTCTGAAGGTTTTTACCCGCTCCCCTTCGTCCAAGTTAAACATTTTCTGCAGGTACAGCCCTGTGAGCTGCTGTAAATACTCGAAGGCTTCCGAAGAAAACAAGCTGCCCGGCAAATAAAGATTAAAACCAGCCTGATTTAATCCCAACCCCCTGTGTATACTCAAACAATGCACACGTAACGGTTTTCTTAAATCACATCCCAAATGCACATAACTAAAGCATTAATATTCCAACTAGTTGAATCTCCTCTGCAGCGGAGCAGAGTCAGACTGAGATGGTGATTATTTCTCCCTCCATGACTCAACATCATAGACATTCAGGACCCGCCGGTTTGGTATAATGACAGGCAAATTAGGCTTAATTAGTTCTTTCTTCCTCTCGGATGCCGGCGGCACAATTTGCTCTCACTTCGATCATTTTCACTCACTTTGTCAAAGAAGGAGAAGAAGAGGGGGGGGGGGCTTCTTGGCTTTTCCGCTACGGGTCGAGGACGCCGGCCCATGTTTGCTATAGCCTGTTGCCATGACTTCCTCTCATTGTCCAGAGACGTTTGCGATTGATTGGCGGTTCGGAATTGGCTGTAGGTGTCTACCTCTTTGCCCTGCCTCCAAGAGGCAGCATGTCCAGGTTTGCCCCGTGTCTGTTCTCCTGCCGGCCGGGAAAAGGTTCTAGTCCCCGGAGACTCTGGACAATCGTTGGCTTCCTAACCAGTAGAGGACATGGTGGGTGTTTGGAAAATCAAAGCATTAAATTACGCATTGGTTGACTCTGAACGATCTGTGGCCTGTTGCTTTTGCTGAGCTCAACATGTCCAATAAGCTTATCAAGTTGTTTAGAGTTGGATGGATGGATGGATGGATGGATGGATGGACTTAACACAGACAGCCGCTGTGCACGCCAACTCAATTGCCATCACCAGGAACTGAATTAGGAGTTCCTTAGCGGTGCCATTTTGAAAGGCTCACGTAATTGCCTCTTTTTCTCTCCTCTCTGAAATCTTGATTTGTTATAATATCACTTTACAAAGTGGAAATTCCAAAGCCCCCTGTGATAATGGAATCATTCGAATAAAATATCTGCATCGAGCTGAAGGGACCGTGCTCCCCTGTAGGTTTTCTGCCCTTCTTTTTGGTAAAGTTAGCTGCCTCCAGGAGGAGCCTGTGTGTGTGCTTTAGCCTCCTAGCTGCCCACAAGGCTTTTGTTCAGAGGCATGCTGAACAGGATTCTGTCCTTCATAGTGTTCTCAAGAGCTTAAAATGCCACTTTTGTTTCCCCAGAGACTTGCTGCCTTTTCTGCTTTTGTTCAGTTAGTCTGTCCTTCCACTCTGCTGTGGAGTGGATTGCAGGCTGCGTATGTACACTCCAATGTACAGCGCGCGTTGTGCTATAGCACGGGCTATTGTGCTATAGCACGGGCTATTGTGCTACTCATGTGCGGGGAAGGTTAAGCCTCATTTAGCCGCACCCTCTTCTCTGACCCACAGCACAGAAACCGGCCTCCTACAGTTTTCCAACCTGAACTGACGTCACACAGTGATGCATTAAGCGCTCACTTTTGTTAGTCAATCAAAGTCAGTGTTTGTGCTTTAAATAGATAAAAAGTCATTTTTCTCGGTAATGCGGGTATTTAAACCCGAGTAACCTACTTCAGTCCTTGCCTCAGCTCTAAAAATGAGAAATATTTCTCCGCTATATCACATAAGAACGGTACTGCCGGCACATATTGTAGATTTAGCTGGCAGCCATTGATGAGAAGCTAACATTCAGAACCAGGATCCCTGTAATTCTTTGGGTGGAAGGACGGAACGTGGTCGGGGACAATCTTTTTCGATGTTTTACTTTTTAGGCGAGATTTCTATTGTTTAAAGTCACATGAGTGCTTTGATATGAGACAAGTTAAGATACATATGCTTCAAGTTAAGATGTTCCGTAAACCTGAATCCCTGGAGAAAGGGGAAAGGGGAATTTTTTCTTTTTTTTTCAAAATACTTTTGTTGAAAAAAGAGCACAATACAATATCTCCAATCACAGGGATAGAATTGACCTTTTTTCCTTTTTTTTTTTTCCAACACACATTTACCGATTGCAGTGCAACGGTAAATGACAACCGGCACACCTAGTAAAAGGCACACAATCAGTTGGGTAGTACCACAAAATTGAAGAAATGGGAAATGAAGGATTGCCATTTGTGAAAAAAAAAAAAAAAGTATATCCCCTCAATGTGTCTTTGAGCCTCCAGGATATAGAAGGACACTCAGCAGACCTCCAGTGTATCAGTAAGGAACGTCTTGCTGGTAGGGATGTGATAGCCGTGATGTCCTTTTGTTTCTGGTTAAGAACGAGTGAGGGATCAGGAATCCCAACTCTGGCAATCAAAGGGCAAGTTTGAAAATTTACCCCAAAAACAGAGAGCCTGATATCAGAATAACCGGGCCAGAACGCTTTTGACTTCAAACCCGAGTCCTGAACTTACTTTCATCCCCCTCTTCTCAGCTGGCGACCCTCCTGGCTCTTTTGCGCTCCGACCCGTCGCTGGTGCGCTGCAGGGACGAGGACGGCTACACGCCGCTGCACCGCGCGGCCTACGGCGGCCACCTCCAGGCGGCGTGCGCCCTGCTGGCCGCCGGCTCCGCCGTGGACCCGCGCACGGCGGACGGGTGGACGCCGCTGCACAGCGCCTGCCGCTGGAGCCACGCCGGCGTGGCCAGCTTCCTGCTGCAGCGCGGCGCCCGCCTCAACGCGCAGACCAACGGCGGGCTGACGCCGCTGCACCTGGCCGCCTCCTGCGGCGGCCCGGCCCGGCCCGCCGCCGCGGCGGCGCAGACCCTGGAGCTGCTGCTGTCCAGGCGCCAGCTGAGGCCCGGGCTGCGCAGCGGCGGCGGGGAGACGGCCGGCGAGGGCGCCCGCCGCAGCGGCCCGCACCACTTCCTGTTCGAGATGGTGGAGGACTGCGTCAGCGTGGTGCCCGCTCAGCAGGACAGCTGCTGGAAGTAGACTCCCCCCCCTCCCATCGTTCCACACATCGACACGTGAAGGGTTTCTCCCACCGACGCTTCAGGGTAGCGGCCGTTTTCCTCATGAGATGATGCCGCCGGACTAGAAGCGGGTCACTATGACATAACCTGACTCAGCAGACCCCTCGACATGGGAGCGGGAGACGGCTGGGATGTGGAGAAGATGAGTGCACAGACTCGAAAAGCCACAGGAGCGAGATTGCTTTTTCAAAGGATGAGCGTATGTAAGGAGGAGAACTGTTGTTTGTCTTTTCACTCAGTCGTCCTTTTTGCTCGGTGGAGTCTTTTGTCCATCGGTCTTCTGCATGAAGTTCAAGGGCAGCTGAGACTGAGTGCTAACTAATTCAATCCTACAAATCAATCACACTTTTTTTGTACTTTGTTTTAATAGTAAAAGACTGTTCATACGCATTTGGTTTAACACAAAGACATCTGTAGGGGCATGTGTAAAAATCTGCCAAAAAATGCTTTATCTTCCCTTTTCCTCGTAAAATTCTTTGCTCATAGCATCACAATGAACCATTTTTAAAACTCCCACTGTTACACTACCGTAAATTCCGGACTATAGAGCGCACCTGATCACAAGCCGCATGCTCTATTTTTAGAAAGAAAAACAATTTTGTATTTATATAAGCCGCACCGGATTTTAAGCCGCAGGTTTCCCACTTGTATGAGATACCAGTATTTACAAATAAAGATATTACACGTGAGCATTTTTTTAACGTTTGATTTAATCCGTATGATACAAATACATATTATGTGTCTTGGCCTCACTAAGAGTTAGCTATCCAAGCAGCTAAACATGTACTCAGCAACTCCACAGAAGCAGATTATTTTTTGTGAATTTACTGAATACTTTATTTTGTGAAACTGAAATACAAACATACAAAACATACGTCAAGAATTGTGCATGTATAGACATGAATTACGATTGGCTACGCTCCGTCACGTATTTGTTAACATTTTTAACATCAACATATGAATATAAAAGTTACTAGAAATATGTCCAGTTGCGAAAACAAATACTTACAGACATTGCTTGAACAAACATGGAAACAAACTGTTACAAATTAGGAGTAGAAGACGAAGTCAGCCGTCTTCGCTACAAGCTGACTGCCGTTGCTAGGATACCGTAAACTTCCTGTCTAGCGGGTTGTCAAAATAAAGGTCTCGCAAAACCGTTTTTATAATAAGAGCAACATAACATCGTATGCTTTTCTTCGAGTATCCATGTTGCGGGAGAGTATAAATGACTGATTTAAAAGACTGTAAATAACTGTGAAAGTGGGAATTATGTATCGCACAATTTCATCGGACCTCTGTTAATACTCATCAATTTTATTGGTCTGTTTTTCGGGCCATGAAAAAAAACATGTATTAGCCGCACTGTATTATAGGCCGCAGTGTTCAAACGGCAGGAAAAAAGTAGCGGCTTATAGTCCGGAATTTACGGTAGTTTATTTTTAAAGATACAAGGACAGTCCCAATGAATATATAATATGAAGTGAATTAAGAAAAAGTCATAGAAACTGAAATGAGACCTAAACAGGAGGATAGGAATTTGCTATAATAAGGAAAGCTCTTAAACCTGATTTCTGTTATGTCTGTTTTTTAAAAGGTTTCTCTTTTTGAAGAGGGAAAGAAGAGACCTACAGATCCTTAGAATCAATACAAGAATTCACTTAACCCAAACAAAAGCTCTCTCTTCTTTTTTTTCCATATTTCACTCTGTTTAAAAATCTCAGAGCAAAACGTTTTTACTTTTTTTCCAAGACATTTTCTGTCCATTATTACAACAAAGTGTGTCTGCGTGTATCTTGATATATGGGTGGGGGGGTGGGGGGACTTATATAAGAATATATTTGTGGAAGAGAAACTGGAGGTCTGGTACATGAAGATGTTTTTACAAGCACATTAAATTACAAGATGAAAAGAAAGAAACAGTCTTTTTTTCACTCATTTTCTCTTATATAACAGCACCAATGTTGCATTTAAACTGTTGGGGGGGAAAAAACCCTGCTGATCAGAGGTTTCCTTTATTTGATGTGTTTCTGCGTATTTATGGTGTGAACATTAAAACAGGCTTTGGCAAATTATTTTGGCAAATAGTTAAACAACTAACATATTAGTTCTACTTGTGTCTCTGAGCGCTCCTTAAGTCAAATGCATTCACATCAAGTTACCTCACTTAGATTATCACCTCATACAAGCAACAAAAAAAAGGGTACTAAAACCAAGGAACTGTTATGTGTGTTTGTCTTCTGCTTTCCGATTTAACAGAAAGTGTCGATTTGACGTCTCGGAAACCTGGATTTCCTTCATGTTTGCCACCAGTGGTGTACAGAGGGTAAGTTAATGAGCATGGTCACTTTGACTACCTCTCAGAGCACAGGTTTTTTTACCCTGGCTGGCCCCTCACCTGCATCAGGAACCGAAGGACCCCCAAATCAAAGCCCATCTTCAACAGGTGTAGCAGCGTTTCTCACTCCCGAATGCACATCGGAACTTTTCTTTAAATGACTTCCACTAGCCACTGAGAACTGTACGAGCACGAACCCATTACGAAATGACATCCATCATCACAAATATCTGCAGCGGCGTCTCTTAATAAGCGTTGTTGCCATGGTTTTCCATCCTCTTCCTTAAACCTGCCTTTATGCCAGCGCGCTCTCCTCTCATCAGCCCTCCAGCTCTTCTAACCCGCCTCGTTCCACGCCCCCTCCCAGACCAGTGCGCCAAAGCTGTCCGTGTCCTCTTTGAACTCAATACTCTGAGCTTTCCCCCAGGTGCTTTGGAGTTTTATTGGGCCCTTACTTTGTTTCCTTGCGCTGAAGGATCCACACACACTTCCCACTCCCGTCTTGTCTCCGACCCTTCACGGCTGCCTTCACCTTCAATCTGCCCGTCCTCATCAGCCATCTGCTCCCCTCCGCTCTTTTCTGCTCCTCCTTCTAGAGATCTACCATCAATTCTTCCTGCACTCCTTCTTTTATGCCATTTCCTTTTACCGTGGTAATCTCAACCATAACATCATATCAAACTAATAAAATACCCATAGAAAATGTATTTCTAGAGATTCTATTAGATTTGCATCATATTGAATACATTACTTTACATTATCATCTATATTTTCTAACCTAAATTTCTCAGCCAAGTGACTTGAAAGGCTACAGCAGAGTCGGCCAGCATGCCCCCCCCCTGCAGTGGAGCATCATAGCAGAAATGCGCACATGATGAGGTATGTAATTAGTTACTTTGGGGAGGAAATAAAAGGTTGCGGAGCGGTTTAACATTTAATCAGCGAGACTCTCCACACCTATTAAGGATTTGAGTTTCACAGCTAGAGTGCAAGGTCTCGCAAACAGAAAATATGAAAAAAACACTTTTCCCTCCTGAAGGGCAATTTAAAAATAGGACAGAGAATTTACGCACCATCCACAACGGGTCTTGAATAAGTTGAAAAGGTCACAACCATCAGTGCGGATCTGAAAAAACAACACAAATTTAACTGGTGTGGCCAATCCAACAAGTCACGACATTCCACAGCTAGATAAATGTTTATACGATGTCAAAAGAATGTACACATATACATGTATTTTACAAGAATAATCCAGTTTATGCCAGCACAAATGTCTGAATGACCTATTATGGTTTATCAGTCACTATTTTGACATTGTAATTCGTGCTATTTAACATTTTTATCGCAATGCAGTTAAAGGATGAAGGGCCTTAGAGGCAGCAAACTGTGGAAACCAGCATAAAACTAAGGCAAAAATGTGAAAGAGACATACAGGTCCACCGTCGGCTTCTCCCAAGCCGCTGCCTCATCCAGATCCCAAACACATCCCAGAGTCCGCTTCAGGGCATGAAGCTTCCACCGGATTTGCAGTCAGTCTCTGAGCCCCGGCCCACTGAGCCCTGCCGCATACTGTCAACGCTCGTGTTAAAGCTGAGACACATGTAGGAAGGTTTATTTTCCAGGTTGTCTCTCTTTTTCCAGCAATCCAAAAAAAAAAAAAAGATTACGGTATGTTAACTGGTTTTAAATGCATTGTTTGCCTCCAATGATAGCTGGGACTGGCACCCATTTTTCTTAGATCAAAACAGATTTTCAATCCGCATATAAATACTTTAAAATAAAGAATATAGAATAAAAGAATAAAGAAGAGTATGGGTCCTTTTAATATGTGATTATGTCTTCTAAGGCACTTAATTTAACTCACTTTAATTTCATGTCTTAACAGTTTAATGTTTTGTTTTTTTATGTTGTGGCTAAACAAAGCAGCTAAAAAAAATTAATCTAAGAACTTTCTCCAGACTGGCAGAATCCACCATAGCACTGAAGCGAGCTTTTGATTGAACTGGTAATGTAGGGACCCTGTCAAACCCATAACAGCATTCAAAAGGCAGGACAAAGCTGAAACTGTGTGTCTTTTGTGGTATTCTCTCTATTAAATACACAAAAATGATCCAGTGCTAATGAATTTCATGGATATTGTGTTCAAACGTGGCAGTAAACGCAGTAAAGGGGCCAGAAAGATTCACAACTCCACCTCTGGGAATTAAATATTCTGTAAGCAGACATATATATATGAAAAAAAAAAAATAAGGCAAAATAAAAATCACATTTGCCTCACATGTGCCACCCAAACCAGGAGGTGTGAGACGGCACGAGGAGCACATCACAATTCCTTCCTCGTCCACTCACTAACACAAACAGATTCCCATCACCCTCCTCATCACCTGTAGCAAAGACAGAGGGCCCCCAACGCCACACAGGGCTCCCACAGCTCCAGGGTTGTGACTCTGGAGCTGTGAGCACAACGCAGTGGGGCCAAGAGGCAAAGCACGGAGCTTTTTTTATTTTTATTCTGAGCTTATCTTAAAGCAAACAGCAGCTGGAGGCAGTCTCTCTGCATGTTTCAGAGCACACGCAGAGCCTGATTGTTCAACAAACAGACGTCTCGTGTTCCACTCGTG